GGGTTTCACAATGTTGCTCAGCCTGGTCTTGAACTCTTAGCATTAAGTGACCTTCTGGCCTTGACCTCCTAAAGTGCTGGAATTACAGGCATAAGCCACCATGCCTAGCCTAGGGCTTGCAATTCTAAAGCTGACTCCAGAACAAAGCAACCACTTTAACACCATCCCGGTGTCACTGATGCCCCTACATGGCACAACCTGAGACCGGGGCAGCCCCACATCTTCTCCAGGTGGGGAGACCTTTCGAGGATTTAGAAATTTCCACCAGTAACACACACTTGTATCCCCTGCCAAAGACTCAAGCGGATGTGTGCAGAGCAAAACTAGTAGTAAAGCAGGAATGGCCGAAAAAAACAGACAGTGAACTAAAAAAGGAAGGGGTTTTATTATTATGGCCCGGGAGCAAGGCTTTATGTTTTGTCCAAACGGCCAAGCTCCCCTAACAAAGAGAAGCTCTGCCTTTATATAGGCTTACACTCTAGATATTACACTTGAAAAGATCTTAGGTTTACAGCCTTAGAAATTACAAGTGAAAGGGTCTTGGGTTTACAGCTTTAGAAATTACATATGATAGGGTCTTGGGTTTACAGTTTTAGGAATTACATGTGAAAGGGTTTCTGGTCTCCAGTTGGAGGAGTGGGGTGGGGGTTTGATCTTGTTTAAGTAAAAACAGTGTCTTCCAGAGAGATTTCCCCATACTATGCCTGTTATTTACAGGAAGGTGATTTAGGAGGCACTAGTCAGCCAAGCTTTTCTTCTATTGAAATGCAGTGTGGAGGTCAAGGGGTAGGTGATTCTAGATGCCTGGGTCTCCTTCCTCAGTAGAGCCGGTTCTCTCCCCTCCCCCCACTCAGGGAACCACTGTCACCATGGGTCCTACCCCTTCTGTGAGGGGGCAGCTCAGTGTTGGTGCTGTGGAAAACCGGAGCCTAAACCACCCTCAAAAAGTTGTGCTTTCAGGCAAGGGCAGGCCCCAACGCCGTCCCCATCCCAGGGCACAGCTCAAAGCTCAGCTCCTGCAACCTGACACTCCTGTGGCAGGTGTGACGGCCCCACTGCCCCGGGGTCTCACAGACCTGTGCTGGCTCAGCAGGAGGAATCTCCCCATAGCCCAGAGGGTGAGGGAAAGACCACCCTCTGGCCTGCCCAAGGACCAGGTTTTAGTGAGCAGCTCACAAGCCCAGGACCTGGCCTCTGCCGTCTTCCAGTGCTGAGGCTGCCGACACCCATGGGACCACTAGCAAGAGAACAGCACAGACCCCATGGAGGGGCTTCCCAGGGCACAGGCAAGACCCTAGGGGAGCCTGGGAGAAGTTATCTCTGGATACCCTCCCTCCTTCAGATACTCACAGCACCATCCCTGAGGCCTGGCACTTGCCTCAGGAAGGCACCCAAGGGACAGCAGAGCTGACACGTCCCTCCTATGGTCACGGAACAGCACCTGGCATTCCCCTCAGAGGACTGGGCACCAAACCCCACACCCAGCTCTGCTGACTTCTCAGTGCAGCAACTGGTCTTGAATGTAGACAAGAAAGCTTAGTGCTGTGCTTTGAGAAACTTGACCTGGCACATTCCTAGCCCCATCTCCATCCTGGCCAGAAAGGTGGGCATGGCTTCGTATGACTGGTCTGCCCCATCCAGTTGCTACCTAGGATGCCCATCCTTTCCCTGGGCAGGGACCTGTGGCTGGCCACTCCCTCCCCTGGCATTCCTGCCCCAATGCCTCCTCCTCCTATTGCAATTCCACCAGCACTGGCTGCTCTTTCTGGATGTCACTTAGATGTGGGCACTCCCCAGAGCCTCCACATTGCTGTCCCTCCCCCTGCCAGTTCCTCTACCTGGGATGTCCCTTCCCGGCCTCCTGTTCCATTGGCCTGGGCTCTCCAAGGCCACAGCTTGACCTTAAGGCCATTGCTGTGCTTGTGCACATTTTTATGACCTCCCAGAGGTCTCCACCTGCCCAGTTTAGCGCCTTCTTCCTCCACCATCCTCCCTCCACACTCCCGCCACCACTGATCCTACGCTGACCCTGATGCTCCCCATGGGATTTGGCCCAACAGCATCTGACTCTGATTTCGTGGACCTCTGCCCTCACCTCCCACCCGCCGAGGCCTCACATAATCTGCAAGTGTGGCTCAGTGCTTCTCATCTCACACTGCCCCCCGCCTCCTGGTGAGGCCAGAGGTGCAGCCCCCGATCTCCACAGTCTCACCTGAGAAATCAACACAACCCCCCGGCGCCAACAAATGGAATTTGCAAACTCTTCCCAGGGTCACCTTGAAATAACAGTCATCTCTAATACCCCTAGACTGATGCGGCTGAAACAGTGTTCTACTTGTTGCCCCCAGAAAGCCCTCACACTTTTTAAAGTTACAATGGGTGAGATCAAAGCTGGGCATCTGTGTGGCTTCCCATTTTCCCCCAACACACTGTGCTCAGAGTGGCTCGTCTGGGAAGCCGCTAGGTCCCGGGGAGGGGACTCTGGGGCCCCAGGCTAGGAGCCCTACACCAGACTTTTCTTGTGGCAACATGAAGGATACTCCATTTTAAATTCCAAGTGACTCTGTTCCCACAAGCGGTATATATGGTAAATATTAAAACGATCATTGTTTTAGTTGGGTGACTTCAACAAGTAGGAAAATTCGCGAGGTCAGAAACGGACTGCAGGAAACACCTCCCTTCCTGGCTTCCCTCGCTCCAGGCCAGGAAGCTCTATAAAGGCTCCCGGGACCGGCAGAAGCCCCGCGCCCCCGCCTGCACCCCGCGCACCTGCTCGTGGCGCGCCAGCAGCGCGGGCCACACGCAGAAACTCAGCTCCAGCAGGCTGCGCGCCAGCTCCCAGGTGCGCCGGCTCCTGCGTGTTGCCGAAGTCCACGGCGGGCACCGGCGGCCGCACCGCCTCGGCCGACCCACGTACTGGCAGTGGCCCGGCCCGTGGAGGACTCCTCGCGGGGCGGCCAGCGCCGTGGACAGTGGAGCGAGTCGGGGAATGCCCGGGTGCGGCGCGGACAGGACCCACCTCAGAGCCATTGAGTGACGCCAGTACCCGCCCGGCCCACTTAAGTGTGCGCAGTGGGTCCCGCCCCGCCCCGGAGGCCCCTACCCGACCTCTCTCCTCAGAAGTCCCAAGCTCCCAGCCGCGTCCGCTCCTCAGGAGACACCACCCCGAAGACCCCGCCCCATCCGAGAGGCCCCGCCCCTCCCTAGGATCTGCACCCGCTCCTCCAGAGGCCCCGCCCCGCCCTACAGCCCACTTGAGGCTCTCGCCCCGCGCTCCAAGTCCTTCCTTCGCGTTCCAAGCGGTTCCTTTTCCTCGGGAGACGCGGGTGAACCCTACGACCCCCACTTTCACCCCTGGAATTCCCGCCCCAGATCCCAACCCCACCCTTGAGGCTCCGTTCCAGCCTGAGGCCCAGCCCGCCCCGGGTGGTCATATCCTAGAAGACCCGCGCTTCCTCCTTAGGGGTTCTGGCACGGCCTGGGACCCACAACCCCTTCACCTCTTGAGGCCCCGCCCCACGCTCCCCGCCGCGCCAGCTCCTCGGCAGGACCAGCCCCGCATCCACTTCGCGCCCGCTCCCTGGTTGGCCCCGTCCGGCGCCCCCAGCCGCACCCCGTCCTTCGGAGGCCCCGCCTCACACCGCCGACACGGCCCTCTCCTAGGGAGGCCCCGCCCCACGCCCCCAGCCACGCCCTCCTCTGTAGGCTCCCCCTCCTCACGCCCCCAGCAGCGCCTTCTCCTAGGGAGGTCCCTCCCCGCGTCCCCAGCGGCGCCCTCTCCTCCGGAGGTCCCGCCTCACGCCCCCAGCAACGCCCTCTCCTCTGGAGGCCCCGCCCCAAGCGTGGCGGAACTCTGTGCGTCCACAACAGGCCCCGCCCACCGGGCCGCTCCCGCGCTCGGTGTAGGGCCTTGGCAGGCCGTGGCCACACCCCCGCGAGAGACCCGGTCTCTGGGGCTGCCCACCCCAAGCTCTGCGTTTCCTTTAGGAGACCCCGCCCTCTTGAGAGCGGGACCCCGGCCCCGGCTTCCAGTTTCCCCGGACACTGGGTTTCTGGGTTCCCCAGGCGGGCCAGGTGGGTCTGGAGCCTGCCGGTCAGCGCCACACACTTGGGTTCCTCCCTGGTCCTTGAGCCGCGTGGACCCACAGCTGAGGCCGGATCGGCGGGGAGTCAAGCCTTCAAAGGGGATCCGCTTCTCCTCTGGTCTAAATGGGTGTGTGGGAAGCCGTCCTCTCCCTCCCACCCCACCCCGCCTCAGCCGTCTTAGGGGCTTGCCCTGGGCTCCTCTCCTGTCCTCCCAGTCCCACCGTCCACCCGCGGCAAGCGCAGACCACAAGGCCCCCTCAGAACCCGTGCAGCCCCGTGGTTCTTCCCTTCCCTACCACCCCACAGGAGTCCACTGGCCACACCCCCTCCCCTACAGCCCTGGCCTCTGCCGCCCGTGGGCCGTCTCTAGAGCGCCTTCCCACTCGCAGCCCTTCTGCCTGGATGCCCCTTGCAGATGTCACCTTCGTGGAGGGACTGGCCCTAACGGCCTGCCATAGTGCACCCCTCCCCATCACCCACCACTGGGCCTCTCGTCACCTCATGACATTCCTGCACCCCACAGATGCTGGGTCTGGCTGTGGGTGCCAGGCTCCTCCCACTTCACCCACCTGCTTTGCCCCGTGCTCCTTGCACCTTGCTGGAAAGAGCAAGAGGTACGTTGCACGCCCTTACCTGTTCTGCAATGTTGACATTTGAGGCTGAATAATTTCCTTATGGTGGGAGCTGCCCTGTGCATTGCAGGTTTGTATCAGCATCCCTGGCCTCCACGCACCAGAGGCCAGTAGTACACACACACAGACACATAGTTGGGACAACTGTGTTTCCAGACATTGCCAGATGCCCCTGGGGGACTGATGTCATCATCACCACTCGAGAGAGAGAGGGTCTTCCTGACACACAGAGCAACAGTTTTTCTGCTCCTCTTCCTCCTGCTGGCATCAAAGAGCAAAGGGGAGAGACAAAAGGAGTGGATGAGTCCAGGCTCACTCTGTTGGAGAGGGTAGCCTCGGCAGCCTGTCAGGACCACCAGAGAATCGCTTGAACCCAGGAGGCATAGGATGCAGTGAGCCAAGATTGTGCCACTGCACTATAGCCTGGGTAACAGAGAGAGAGAGAGAGAGAGAGAGAGAGAGAGGAGGGGAGGGGAGAAGGGGAAAGGAAAGGGGAAAGAGGAAAGGAAAGGAAGAAAGAAAGAAGGAGAGAAAGAGGAAAGAAGGAAAGAAAGAAAAAATAAAGAACAAAAAGAAAAAGAAGGAAGGAAGAAAAGAAAGAAAGGAAGAGAGAAAGAAGAAAAGGAGGAAAGAAAGAAGGGAGAGAGAGGGAGATAGAAAGAAGGGAAGGAAGGAGAGAGAGGAGAAATAAAAATAAAGGAAAAAAGAAAGAGAGAGGGAAAAGAACTTGGATCATACGTTTTTGCCAGAAAGAGAGAAAAGAAAGGGAGGAACTTAGATCATACTTTTGTGCCAAAAGTAAGGAAATGCACAGAAACTGATGGATACAAGAGAAGAGGATGAAAACTGATGGATACAAGAGAAGGTGGAAACTGATGGATACAAGAGAACAGGATGTAAGCTTCAGCTTTAAGAGACTCCCACTGGCCAGTTTTAGAACAATGTTTATTTTCTTTATCCCAAATGCACTAGTGGGATTTGAGAACAGTTTGAACTCCAAATGGGTAACAAGACTAAAAGGTTATATTTAAAATTCCATAAGTTAATACAGATAACAAAAAAGGTTAAATTTTTAAAAGGTGTGAGTGCAGCAGCCTGAATAGCTCAGAAATATTGTACTGAAGGAAGGAAGCCAGACTTAATAGATACTGTATGATTCCATTTATAGGAAACTCTAGAAACGGCAATATTGGTGAATGGTGGTAGAAATTAGACCAGTGGCTGTTCTGTAGAAGATGGGTTGACCAGGAAGGAGCAAGAGAGAGCTTTAGAACTTACCTTCACACGGGGTCAGAATCACATGTATGTTCGCATTCACCAAAAACTGATTAGACAAACAATATATGGACCAGGTGCAGTGGCTCACACCTGCAATCCCAGCACATTGGGAGGCCAAGGCCAGGGATTGCTTGAGCCCAGGAATTCAAGACCAGCCTGGACAACAAAGGGAGACCTTGTGTCTACTAAAATTAATAAAATAATATAGGCATGGTGGTGAATGCCTGTATTCCCAGCTACTCGGGAGGCTGAGGCAGGAGGATCGCTGAAGCCCAGGAGGTCAAGGCTACATTGAGCTATGATCGCACCACTGCACTCCAGCCTCGGAGACAGAGCATGATC